GTCCTGGTCTCCCAAGTTCAAGAAAGATGAGGAGCTACTGGAGAGAGTCCAGCGGAGGGCTACGAGGTCCTGTGCAGCCTGCTGTAGGTGACCCTGCTTGGGCAGGAGGGTTGGACTAGATGACCCACAGAGGTCCCTGCCAAACCCTACTATTCTGTGATTCTGTGAAAAACCCCTGAGCAGCTATTAATTGAAAGTACTTCATAAATCACTGATTCCGTATTCCCATTATTACTTTTCCATGATGTTTAAAACTACAGCGATCTTTAAACTTTTTAAAAATAAAAGAAAGCACTCGTGTGCCGTTCATGGTGTGCAGCATGAAACTGTACCCTGCTCACTGTCTGCAGATGCATGCAGGAGACGGGAGGTCGGTGAAGGAAGTTGTTTCGTTTTGCGCCTCTGATGTTTTGTTTGGTTGTGTTTGGGGTGTTTTTTTAAGGCACAAACAGATACTTCAGGACAATCGCCATGAAGATGGGTTTGAACGTGGTTTTTGTTGACTGCACAAAAATGGAATGCTTGGAAGCTGCAATTACACCAGAGACCAAGGTAGGGGAGAGGGGAAGTGCTGACCTTACTTGCTTAATGTCGTTACAGAATTTTATTCTTGCTCTTGTTGTGTTGGGTGTATGCACCAAGCAGAGGGGGTGCAGGGGTGGCCTCTGCGGGGACGGCGTGGGCACAGCTGGCTCCAGCACATCCAGGCTGCGGGGCGCTTGGGGACGTTTGTGGTGCCTCATCGAGCACACTTTCAGAAGGGCAAAAAAAAAGAGGAGGAGGAGGGGGAAGGCAAGAAACAGCAGAGGGAACACCAGGGTCAGAGGAGGAGGTGCTCCGTGGCACTGGAGCAGATAATCGCCTGCTCTGGTGGAAGATAATGCAGAAAAGGCTGGTGGGCTTGTGAGCGTGAAGACCTTCTGCTGGCCGTGTCAGGCCTTCTTCAGATGTGATGCACGTAGGTTCGCAAAAGCTTTCGTGCTCTTCCCATGTACCAGTTGTTTTTGTGGGGAGTATTACCTCTCCCAGGAAACCTGGCCTTTCGTCAGCGGGGTCGCTTTCGCATTTCCACTCTGCAAACCTGCATGGGAAGCTGACACCAACGAGTTGTCGTTTAAAAGCTCTTATGACTTGCACACATATTGTAAAAACTCCAAACGGATGGTTTTTGTTGTTGAATCCTGCAGCTGGTTTGGATTGAAACGCCCACCAACCCCACACTGAAGGTCATTGACATTCAGGCCTGTGCCGATGCAGTACATAAGCATAAAGATGTGCTTCTGGTGGTAGACAACACCTTCATGTCTGCCTATTTCCAGGTGAGCCCTTTGGTTCTTTACAGTTACCCCATTATTTCAGTTCAAATGGAAGCACCACCAACAAACTGTAGTTCTGATCTAATTACCTGTTCTGTTTCTAAATACAACCCATGTGCTGCTGCTGTTTACATTAGTGAAGATGCTATGCAAAGTATTTTAGAGCTAATGTGATACCAGCAAACCCAGTATAGCTCACACGCTGAGTCAAGACAGTCAGGTAAGCCATCGGGCGGAGGGCTCCTCTGTCAGTCAGAAATCACGTTTTTCAGTTCTCACTGAAGGAAATCATAACAGGCCAGTTAAAAAGTGTCCTGTCTTCTAACTTTGGCCTTTTTTATACCAATTCTTTTTGTATATGCTGTTTGTGATCTGTTCTGAACCACTTGCTATTCTAGAAAAGGCAGTGGAAAAAAAAGTTAAAGCAAGCAAACTTTGTTATATCTTTCTTTGAGGCATTCAGGTTACCTTTTTCTTCCGTATTTCGGTGAATGTGTGGCTTTGATCTTGAACAACTGGCATAACTTTTCTGCTTTTATGACAAGAATATGTGAAGCAAAGACAATTTCTTAAGTTCTAAAAATGTGTTGGATTAATAGACTTTGAAGTCCTGTTCATCTTAACATGGGCTGGAAATATTCCCGTATATTTCCCAGGAGACCAAGCTAATCCCTTGTATTTTAGGTCTAAAGTAAAACTTTTTTATGAGTGCAAAAGGCAAGGTGTCTTTTGGTCTTTGTTAAGGGTACTGAGATCTTTATAAATTAAGAGAGCTTTACAGAAGGTGTTAATGCGTAGCTAAAGCAGCATTTGAGCTTGTCCTGTACATACCAAAGGTTTGGTGATTCCCCACCCCCCCCCGTGATGTGTGTTACTTTAAAAGATGTGTGTGAAAGAAGCACAGTGAGCATCTGGATAAATGAGCTGGTTAATGTATCTTTTATTGGCCTGGTGCTAAGAGAAAGTCAGTTGTAATGATTAATTCCAGTAAGTGTAATAGGTAATGTCTTTAAACCCCTGCAGACTGCTGCTGATACACTGTACTAGGAAGATGATAATTTTAGACTGATTTATATAACAATATCGAATGTGAAAGGCGCTGGTGTTTGTGCTGCCGTTCTCCTGGCTGCGCACTGGGAACGCACACACCCACGTTCTTTGAACAGACGTCCACATTTAATCTGGCAGCAGCAGTCTTACCCTAAATCTGCCTGCTTTGTCACATTTTAACACACTGAATACTCTTCAGTCTTTACAATGTGTTTATATTATGTGCAAAGTCCTTTACTTAGTGACCGATTAAAAAAAAAAATATTGTCGTTACTTCTTGCCCATCAGCATCCCAGTTTGCCTCACCGTCACAAGGCTCCTGGGAAGACAGCTGGAGGCTGGGGCAGGGAGACCTGGCCAGCACAGCCCTTGGTGCTTTCTGCAGGCCTGCAGTGGTTCTCCCGGCGCAGTGTCACCGATACCCGGGGAACGGTGCAGGGGTTTGCTTTGCAGGCTGTGTTGGGGTCTGCGTTTCTAAGGAGATACACCTCAGAGTAAACGCCGTTCCTTACCCCCGCCTCAGCTGAGCCACGGAGCTGTTTTTGTCACGAGTGTGAGCGGGCTGCGTGTTAGATGTGTTCCATCACTCCTCTCCCTGAAGCCGGTGGGAGTTAGACCGGTGCTTTAAAACCACGTTTGATTGTGGGCTCTTTTTGTTGTGCCTGTCTTGAATTCAGGGTGTCTTCCTGTACCATTGTTTTTGTCACATCTTCTGTCTGTCTTCATTCTCAGGTTTTTGTGTTTAAGGGGTTTTGTGGGAAGTGTTTGTGGGTTTTTTAGTGTCTCCACCTATTGTTATTTTCTGTGTGGGATCACTGCCTTTCTGGGTAGCCTGAAGTGAACCAGAGTGCACACAAGCTTTAATCGGATCTATTATTTTCCTTTCATTTCAGCGTCCTTTATCTCTGGGGGCTGATATTTGTATGTATTCTGCAACCAAATACATGAACGGTAAGTACAAGAGTTCAACACAGCTCAGGCTGGCTATTAAAAGCCATTCTGGCTGTGGGCAATTCACAAAAGCCAACGTGCCTGCCAGTAGTTCTTAGATGGACCGTTAGAAGAGGTGGACCACTGAGCAGACCGTTAGTCTTCATAGCTCCTACACTATCCCTGGGAGAAGGAATATTGACCTGCCTTCAGCTGATAGACCTAGAGGTGTTCATAGCCACGTTGGCTTTGACTACGACAAAGCGAGTGGCTTCAGTAGAAGGCAGGTGCCAGAGATTCTGTGAAGGTGCAAAGGAGGTTTCACAGGGCTGTTTTGGAGCCTGTCCAAAAGCACGTTCACTGCCCTGCCTCCCGAAGAGCCCAGGCTCGGAGCCGAGGCGGCTGTGGCTGTGCTGTAGCCCTGGAGCTGGGGGTAGAAGTGGAGGTTTGCTGGCTGGCGTTCGCTCTCGCTGAGGCAGCAGCCCAGCGCTGCTCGGCAGGACACAACCGGTGCCTTCGCAGCGGCGTGCGCTCTCGCTGAGGCAGCAGCCCGGCACTGCTCGGCAGGACACACCTGATGCCTGCGCAGCGTCCTGCTCCCCGGCGGGGGGCTTGGGAAGGGTCTGGGGGCACGCTGCAGCGCTCGGCAGAGCTGACCAGAGCTTTAGAAAGAGCTGAAATCTGCCTTACGATTTGTGTGCTGAGCAGGAAGGACCTCTGTAGCAATGAGGAGGAGCCCAGTGTCTCACAAAACCAGGACTGTGTTAGCACCAAGACAGAAAGTGGGGTTTGGGGCAGAGCCCTGGAGCAGATGGAGGGGCTGATTCTGTTCTTGTCTTCTCCTTGCATTTTTAGGGCATAGTGATGTTGTCATGGGACTTGTTTCAGTAAACTGCGATGATCTCTACGAAAGACTCAAGTACTTACAAAACTGTAAGTAATCAATGTAGGAAATGCCTTAAAATGGATCATATTCAAATACCAAATACATCAGCTCATAATGGGAAGGATGCTGCATGCACACAAGTGTGAAATCTATCTAGAGATGTGCAGCCTGCCAGTGCCTGGAGGGGCCTGCGAGAGAGCGGGAGAGGGGCTTTTGACAAGGGCATGGGGTGGGAGGACAAGGGCTGATGGCTTCAAACTGAAAGACAGGAGACTTAGATGAGATATAAGGAAGAAATTCTTCACTCTGCGGGTGGAGAGGCCCTGGCCCAGGCTGCCCAGAGAAGCTGTGGCTGCCCCCTCCCTGGCAGTGCTCAAGGCCAGGTTGGATGGAGCTCTGAGCACCCTGGGCTGGTGGGAGATGTCCCTGCTGATGGCAGGGGGGTTGGAACCGGATGATCTTTAAGGTCCCTTCCAACCCAAACCATTCTAGGATTCAGTGATTCAGTGTAGCTCAGGCATTTAAATGTGCAGCAGTGTAAATGACTGGGGAGAAAGTGATAACAAAGATACAGGAAACCTGAATTCCCTTTCCTGCCTTGCACTGGTGGCCTCATGCAAACACGATAGCTCTCGGTACACCTCTGTGGCTCCTCTCCCAGAGTTGGTGGCACACGCTCTCTAACTGCTGCTAGAAAGATGCTGAGAGCAGAGTGGGTTGTTCAATGTTTGTTCAGCTGGGGCTGGTGAGTGGGGTGAATTATCTGGGGGCAGGCGCTTGAACGCAGGACTGTCATGGGCCTCTGTCCCTGCCTTCCCCCGAGAAGTGCATCTGGGGTCTTTGTGAACCCATTCACACATCAGAGGATATGCCAAATGCAGAGTTTTCTTATATAGGTTGATTTTTAACAGTTTTACTGCCTCTTAATTGCAATGAGTAAATTTCTGTGCAGTGTTCTGTCTGCCCTCTGTCTACAACAGAAGGACTACAGGTATATTATGTCTAATAAATCACAGAATCACAGAATAGTAGGGGTTGGCAGG